GGATTGAGCACAGGCCTGGGAACCATAAGATCGCTGGTTCAATTCCCAGTCAGGGCATATGTCTGTCTCTCTTTCTCCTTTCCTTTTCCTGTGTCTAAAAATAAATAAATAAAATCTTAAAAAAAAAAAGATACCAGCTTCCAGTTATACAATAAAGAAGTCATGGAGATGTAGTTACCATAACATACAGCATGGTGACCACAGCCAACAATACAATATTGTATATTTGAAAGTGACTAAGAAAACAGATCTCCCTGGCTGGTGTAGCTCAGTGGATTGAGCACGGGCCTGTGAACCAGAGTATCACGGTTCGATTCCCAGTCAGGGCACATGCCTGGGTTGCAGGCAGGTTCCCTGCAGGTCAGTTCCCTGCAGGGGATGTACTAGAGGCAACCACACATTGATGTTTCTCTCCCTCTCTCCTTCCCCTCTAAAGATAAGTAAATAAAAATTAAAAAAAAAAAGAAAACAGATCTTAAAAGTCCTCATCACAAGGAAAAAAATGTAGCTATGTGGTGACCATTTCACAATACACACAAATATCAAATCATTATGTTGTATACCTGTAACTGATGTATATGTTCCTTATATTCCAATTTAAAGACAATCAAAATATGTAGAAAGATACTTGAACAAAGATGTTATTTTAATGGAAAACTGGAAGCAAAGGCCCATCGGCCAACTAAATTTCGGTAAGTCCGTGCCACGGATGGTAGTCACTGAAGATCAGGTTTAATATTTCCTGGGTCATTCTCTTTGGTGGTGGTGCATCAGACATGGGTCTAACTTTTTCTTTGCATTTTCCCCAATTTTCTAGTCTGAACAGTATCTGTCATTAGAAAAAAAATGATCAAATATACCTTTGCAAATGGCTTATTTTACCATTTCAAACCTGTTCATCTAAAGTTCAACCTGTTAGTCACTTTAGTTGTAACGAAGCCAAAACGTCACAGCCGACACAGCAGCTGCCTCTGGCCATCCCGCCCTTCCTCCTGAACACACCAGGGTGCTGGGTCCCAGGACAGGAGAATTCAGAGCCTTCAGCGGTCTGACAGCTTTTTCCGGGCCGCACTTCTAACCTGGATCCTGGACATTGTTTTTTAGTGTTGTTTTGTTTTGCTTTTAAAGCCCCTCTGACAGTCATTTACAGCCACTATTGGAACTCCACAGTTCTGCTCCACTCTGCTCATTTTGCACCTAGGACAACGGAGGCCCAGGGGAGCTCCGACTGACACCCAGGCACAGCCGGGTCCATGTCTCTGGGTTCCTGGGATGGTTCTTTACACTTCAGAGAGCCAGTCAAGTCAAAGGTGGGGTGCTGTAGATTGACAGACTGCGAGTGCCCCAAATACTTCAAGTGGGAAAGAGGAGAGCAAAGAACTCTCCTAAAACAACCCATCTTTGATCCCCTCTCCAACCCAACTTTAGAACTATGTCTCAGCAACTAGTTATCAAAGAGTGTTTATTAAGCACAATGTACTTGGTAAAGATTATCTCTAGTTTAATATGATGAGAAAAGACACTGCAAAGGCTAAATGCAACTGTGTTGAGTAAGCAAAGATGATAAAAATCAAAATACCATTACTATATCCAAAGCTGGCTCTACTCCAGAACAAATAAACACAATTTTAACTGGGCCTTTGTGCTTCCAGCCCCATCCCAGAATCTCTGTCCCTTGCTCTTGGATACTGCCCAGAATCCCCTCCAATGGTTACCCTTGCAGACCAACAGCAATTTCTCTCCCTGCCCAGTCTTCTCTCTGCTCCCAACCAAGCCCCAACACTTCACATCTTCTCCATGAGACAGAGTTAAGTGAAGCCACTGAGTTTCTCTCTGGAGGATGGACAGTAGAAAAAGTTTTGACTTGGGAGTCAAGACCTGGCTGTGTGGGCACTTGGCAAGTCAGTATGCATTTAACCCTTCAGGACTCAAAAAATCTGTGAAACTCATGACTATTGGAACATACCTGAAGTTCCATCTGACTTATTTAATGACAGCTTTGTACAAGCCAAGCCTAGCTCTGACTGGTAAAAGACGTAGTTAGTCTTTCAGCTAGCAGTCTGCGATGTTAAGAGAACTTTTAAAGGAAAGTCCTTATTCAATCATTTGTTCACTTGGCCTGTTTAAGAATTAAATATAGAGAAGATGGGAGTTGATAAAATTAGATGTGTTATAATCTAAGTCACGCAAATGAAGAAAACAACTTCCCTATTGCTTGAAGGGTCTAAATCAATGTGCTAGTAGTCCTAGGTTTTGTGGGAACATTTGATTTTCAATAGTCACTCTTCAACTTTAAAGAAATCTTCACTTTTTGGGTCTTGAATCTTTAGCCCTCTCTGCTTTTTTCCTGCTCCCAATTGAATATGGTTGTGATGGATGAGCAGAAGGAAACCTCCACCATCGGGCTGACTGCAGGCCCAGGCGCCCCGGGCAGCAAGAAGACACTTCTCTGCAAGAAATCCACGTCTTGCTTCAAAGGGCTAATGTTATGTTGCAACCTGCACCCGTTTACTCACAAAATCCACTGAGCTCCCATGTGGCAGGCAGCGAGGGTGGGGGGGAGCAGATTGGGGGGAATAAAGAGCACACCAGACAGGCTTCCCAAATTCTTAGACCTTGCCTTCCACTGCAGGAGACTGAATCAGGTCTCCACACAGAGGGGTATTCACGTCCTGGCCAGCTGGCTCAGTTGGTTGGAGTGCACTCCCATATAGCAAAAGGCTGTGGGTTCCATTCCTGATCAGGCAGGTACCTAGGTTTTGGGCTCCATCCCAGCTCAGGGCATGTGCAGGAGGGAACTGATTGATCTCTCTCTCTCCCCCCATCCCCTCAAATCAGTAGCTATACTCTCAGGGGAGGATTTTTTTAAAAAGTGTATTTGGACACTGTGATAAATGCTTCAATGAAGAAACACAAGAAAAAAGAGACCCTATAAAAGCGGGATGAGAATGGAAGGTATCTATCCTTGAGGAACTGCCCTTTGACACTGAAGGATGGGGGGGGGGTATTTAGAAAAAAGGACGGGCAGCTCAGGCAGGCCCCAGGCTGGGCAAAAGCCAGAGGCCAAGGGGAAGGACAGCTGTTGCAGAAAGTTTCTTCTACTTTCCCCCCAGAGTCCTGTCAAGTCTCTGGGGCAGGTATGCAATCACTTTCTTTTGGGAACTCCATCTGTATTTGCAAATTAGTCTTCCCAAGTCACTGGAAACCAACCCACCTTTAAAAATATTCATGAACCTCTCATTTATCCAATGCTCTCAGGTTGTTTTCCTCTATCACACATCACCGTGGAGATTCCTTACCATGAATGTTTAGCTCACTCTTACTTTTTCCTGCTCTATAGTGAGTGAGTTGTGTGTTGGAGGGGAAGAGAGAAATTCCTTCATTTGGTTCAGCGAATAAGGAGGCTCTTCAAGCAACAAAAAGACACTGCTCTCTGCAAGAAATCTGCTGATAGTGCTTTTAAAGGACAAGAGGATCTTTTTTCCAGAAGACATCATCAGGGGTGATGTTTAAAACAGTTTGAAGTGCACCAGTGGAAAAATGCCCCCTCCTTCGGCTTTCTGAATGAGGGACACAGAGCCCCGGCATCTGCCTGCCGGTGTCCACAGCGGGCACACAGAAGATGCCCTGCCACATTTCATGAAGGTGAATTGTCCTCATCTCCCCACTCTGCCCCATTCTTAAGACAAGGCAAGAGGAAGGGCTGCCCGAAACTCATCTGAAAGTTACTGGGTACCATGAGGGACAGAGAAAGAAAACTAAAAGGAGAAAACAACATTATAGAGGAGGATTTCTCTACAGTGGAACATACAAGCCCCCTTCCCCTCCCCCCCTACCATCTCAAATTCTGTAATTCTATGCACACAGTATTCCACTCTGCATAGAAGCCAAGTCCTCAGATACTAGAAATCAAAATAAATGCACCTTCCTGTTACCAAAACTCCCAGGAAGAAAAAATGTGGCTTCCTCCATTTCCCACTACCCTCTGCCCCGGCTAAAGGGGAGAGTTGGAATTGTTAACACAACGCATCAGTGACTTTTTACCTCCCTCGGGGAAACGGCACCTCACTGCGGCAGAGAGCCCTCCCTCCCAGGAGCAGCCCTCCTCCCCGGCAGACGGAAGCCCTGGCACGTTAGTCTCTGCAGCCTGTCTGGTCCCTCCCGCCCAGAGTCCCTGTGCACTGCGACAACACACGCTGGCTTCCCAGAGCCGCAGTGGGTTGTGTAACCGCACTCCCGACACCTAGAGGGGAGCGCGGTGAGCTTCCCTGCTGACCGCATCTGTTCAAAGTCACTGGCGCCAGTGGATACGAGTCCCGCCAGCCAGGAGGGCCCCTGAGGAAGGGGGAGAGTGAAGCGCTGTTGGGACCTCATTTTTGGTGGGAGATGGGGGCGGTCAGGGCGGGGGAGGGGGGCAGTGTGTGTAAACCTTTCCAGGAGCGATATTTAAACCCGAAGTTCTGTCCTCAGCGCTGGAGATGCACAAGGGCGGAGGCACGCGGAGCCCCTCTACACTCCGTTAGTGTGGATCAGGAAAGGGGGGTGGGCGGAAATTCACGCATCCTGGGGGCGTTCTCAGAATTTCTCCCCAGGGAAGCCTGTCACGAAAACGCCGAGGACATCTCCTCTCCGGTTTTCAATTACGTAACGCTTACACATTTGGGAGACGATACACGTACATAAATTTAACTTCTTTTGAAGGTAGAAAGTCTCTAAATAGACTTCATTTAAAGCTCTGGGGGCATCTGAAGTCGGACTAGACCTGGCTGCTACCTGGCAGCGTTAAAGCGGGGCATCCTGGTCACTGGAGCCCCCAGGCTCCCTCCCCTCTGCCCACCGCGCCAGAAGCTGGGTGGCTGCGGGGCGGGCGCCCTCTGAGCCGGGCAGGCTCCGCGCTAGCGCATCTCCGCCTGGCGGAGTCACCAGGACCAGCACGTCCGCAGGGAGCGGAGCGGCCTGCCCTCCGCCCCCACACCCACGAACACCTGGCCTGCGGTTACCTGCGGGGCCAGGTCTCTGCGCAGCCCATTGGCCGGTCCCCCGCCGCCCTTGTCGTCAGCCGCGAGGTGGTGACCGACCCCAGGAGCCCGCGCCACGCCCTCCGCGAGGCTCGCACACTTCTCTGGGGGGGCTTCGTCCGGCCCCGGAAAGAGCCCGCAGCTGCGCTGGAAGCGGGCGACGAGCTGGGAATCCTGCAGGCTCCGCAGCAGCTCGGCCATGGTGCGCCCGGGTCGCCGCTGCCGCTGCCACTGCCACGGCCCCGGCCCTCTGCTCCCGCTGTCCCTCGCCGTCGCGCCAGCCCGCCCAGCACCCGGGGAGGAGGGCGGGCGGGGCCCGGAGAGCCCGCCAACAGGTGCGCCGCCTCGGTCCTAACGCCCGCCCCCGCCCCCGCGCGGGGTAGCCCAGGTGTGCGCCTCCGCCCTCCCCGGGGCGCGGCAGCCCGCCTTTCCTCCCCGCCCGGCTCGGGCGCTCCCCGCCGCCGGTCGGGTCGGGACTGGGCGGACGGGCACAGGTGTCTACGCCGCCCCTCTCCCCGCGCGACCGCCCTCCGCCCCTCCAGGCCGGCGCAGACGCGCCACACCGGGGGGGGGAGCGGCGGAGCACGTGCGAAGCTGCTGGAGGCCAACCTGCCCAGGCCGCCTGCTGCCGCCGCAGTCCCCTTCCTTTCACTTCTGCGCCCAAGGCGAGATCCGTATTCCAGCCCCCCCAACCCCCGTCCCGAAGCCAGCCCTCCACTGTCGCCCCCGAAAGCTTCGGACCAGTGGAGTCCTCTAGGGAAAACCCCCATGTTCCTCCCACACTCCGCGAGATGCAACGTCCCGCCCAAGGCCGAACTTCCTCGACCTTGCTCAAGAGCACAGGAGACTGAAAGGGGACTGAGTCATCATCCTCTGCGTCCCTGCCCCAGACCTTATTGTGATTTGGCAACTGGGGAGACTCTTTTAAAAGCTCAGGTACAAAACGTGATTCTTTCTCGGCTTTCCGCTTTGGGAGAGATGACGCTTGCCCCTCCTCCCACGTATTTCCCTGCACTGCCTCAATTTGCCCAATGGAGCGGGGAGGACGGAACGAGATCTGTCGGGACCTTTAGACCCAAAGAGAGCCAGGTGCTGCAGGACTGGGCGGTGATTTGACATCTGCCCGCACCTCCGCCTGCTCTAAGGATCCCTGCAGAGCAGCGAAGGGAAGGACCCGCAGGGAGACATTGGTGTGCCCTCCTGCCCCCAGAATCTATTTCCAGGGGCACTTAATCCCGTCTAAGGGCCTCTGCTCTTTCTCACAAGGAGTGGGAGGCAGGAGTCCAGTTGAGCCCTGCGGATCGGTCAGCAACAGAAGTGCAACTCAATCCTTAGAGGCTGCAGGTTTCTCGGTGGCCTATTCACAGGCTACTAAGCATTTGGTTACACAAATGACTGCCAGCAAACACCTGCCACTACTTTGTTTACTGAGTTGTGCTACCATTCTAGGAAGTCTCTGGAATGTAGCTTTCAAGGATGCTTTGGTCTTCTTCCTGCCTTAGTTTCTGCTCGGGTTCCCAAACTTGCCTGGAGGGCAAGATCATGGAGGCAGAGAGAGCACTGAACTCCTAGGAGATAACCCTTTTCTGCTTAGTACAGAAGCAGCACAGAGCAGCCCAGTCCAGCTGTGTCACGCCCTGGTGTCCAGTCCTACAAGGAAAGCTCCTCTCGGCACCGAGGCTATCATTTACAGTCCCTGGGACCAAACCCTGTGGTTCAGTTTTGAAAGCCGGAGTTGCAGTAGGTCAGGACCTATTCTTGATCTGGGTTGAAGAACATGTTCCGCCATAAATTCACATGAGTGATGTGTCTCTCAAATTTGGTCTTCAATTTTCCTTTCTCACAATGGGGGGGGGAGGGCAAAGCAAAATATGGTACATGTAGCATAAGGCCAAAGAATGGCGATATTCAGACAACACATCTTATCTATTTGGAAGAGCAGATACATCCAGCAGCTAGTGGCTGTTGGCTCGGTTTTTTCCTGTGAGAAAACAATGGCCCTCGCTTCTTATCTTTCTTAGAAGGCTGTTGTGTGGGGGGTCCTTGGCTCCTGGCAGCATCACCCCAGTCTCTTCCTCTGTTGTCACACTGTCTCCCTGTGTAGTTCTGTGTCCAAATCTCACTCTTATAAGGACGGACACCATGCGTCGGATAAGGGTCCACTCCAATCCAGTGTGACCTCACTGTGATGTGATAGCATCTGCAAAAACTCTATTTCTGAATAAGGCCACATTCACAGGTTTTGGGTAGATGTGAGTTTGGGGGGGACTCTCTTCAACGCAGTGAAAGGAATCACTCCAGGCCAGATACTTGCTCTGTGCTTTCAGAGCGAGGCTAATTGAGTCACCATGTCTCCTGCCAGAAGCCCTATGGGAGAGCCACTTGTCATCCATGTATTTGACCACATGTACACAGCGCCAGGCATTATTCTAGGTTTGGGGCCACATCAGTGTAAAATGCAGCCCTGGCAGGCATGGCTCAGTTGGTTGGACATCATCCCGCAAAGCAAAAGATCACTTGTTGGATTCCTGGTCAGGACCCATGCCTGAGTTGCAGGTTTGGCCCCTGGTCAGGGCACACATGAGAGGCAACAGATTGATGTTTCTCTCCTTCCCTTTCTCCCTCCATTTCCCTCTCTCTAAAAATAAATAAATAAAGTCTTTTTAAAAAGAGCCCCTAAATCATGTAACTTATATTTTAATAGAGGAGGCGAATAGCAGGAAATTAAATAAACATGTATCTTTAGGGAGTGGTAAGTGTTCTGAAAAGAGAAGAGCATTGTGGGTGGGGTAGGAGCATGACATATTTAGGTCACACGCTTACTCCAAGAAGAGGGTGTTTGTGCAGAGAACTGAAGAGAAGAAGGACTTTGCCTCACCAAGATCAGGAAATTCCAGACAGAGGACACCTTAGTCGTAGAGGCCTTGAGTCAGGCCCAAGGTCAGCCTGTTAGAGGAACCAGGGGGAGGTCAGCGTGGCTGGAGAGATTGAGGGCAGACTTAGAGGGGTGGGCAGAGGCTAGACCAAGGAGTGCCAAATAGGCTGCAATAGAAAGAAATCTTCTCATTTTGCAGATGAGAAAAGTGAGGCTCAGAGATAGGAAACTTTCCCAAAGCCACACAAAATAGCTGTTAGAGGATGATTTAAGCCAGGTCTGTCTGACCCCAGTACTTGTTCTCTTCATTACTAAAATGCATTCTATTCCCAGAATTAATCTTTATTCTTGACTTTTGCGTTGGAAATTATTCCCAGTGTGCAGTAACTGCTCAATAAATACTGAGTCAATGAGCATTGTTCTAGACTAAGTAAAATCTCACATTTTAAAATGTTCTCAGAGTTAACGACTCATTTTAAAATTGTCCCATGTAGATTCTACAGTAAGTTTTGGAAGCAAGTAGTTGTATTTCCATTTTATAAAGGAGAGAAACGGAGGCTCTGAGGTGTGAGGTGGTTTTTCCCAACGTGACGGAGTGTATTAGGTGCTTTCTGCAAGGTCTGCCATCTCACTCAGCTGGGAGAATTTCCTTCCTCCCCCAATCACTGCCTTCCCCACGGGATGGGACAGGAATGGAGGAGGAGTTTGGCAGCCAAGTTTGAGCCCTTAGCCAAGGCTGATTGGCCCTTGGCTGGACACCTGACCAAAATCTGGACTCATCAAATGCGTTCTCTTTGGGAATTTGGATTCAAAGACCCCCGTAAGTATTTGTTAAACTAGAGGAGAAATTTTAAAACTGAAGACCACACTCCGGTGCAGACAACTGCGCCATAGGAGGGAGAAGAACGGCAGACAGACAGAGAGGTCAGGGAAGGAGAACGAAGGACTCCGTCAGGGGAGGTGCTCCGCGCTGCCTGGCTCCAGTCACTGTGACTGTCTTCCTGCCCTGGGTTCCCGAGTTACCCTCAAATCTTTGGTAACACTCCCCCCCCCTTCCTGCTTCTGTAACTTGTTGCCAGAAGAGGCCTAGCTCAGCCAGCCAGGCAATGGCAGGACAAGAAAACTGAGACCCAGAAACCTGAGCAGCTTCCTACCTTTCTGTCACTGTCACAGGATCACCAAAGCCCCACCCACCTCTTGCTGCTGGAGACAGACATCCTCTTGCTTCCATGACAACTACTGATTCCTACCTGCTCCAGCCCCTTGGGGTCCTGGGGAGGCCTGCAGAGCCCAGATTTCCTCGGATCCTGGAACTCAGAGTGAAACTATGAAGAAATTTCACCTCCTGATGCTTCCTAGGCTTCGGTGGAAAGCCAGTCACTCTGTAAGGGCGAGTCATTCTGAATCGAAGAAAACTCAGGGCACATAACCATTTCGAAATTTACCAACTACCATACATGAATTTGGTTACTGGAAGTTTCTTTCATTAATGCTAATGTGTATCTTTGAAAGTAAAGTACCTGAAAATTAGTAGCTTTAGCAGATTGAAGGTATATCACGTGCTGATAAATTGGTCAGAGCCCCAGGATCCATGGGTTACGCAGTTGACTTAAAATTTGAAATGTAAAGCATAAGACTCACTTTGTATTGTTCAGGGGGGAACCTCTTTCTTCTAACTAGTGAAAAAACATTTTCTATCTGGGCATTTTCAATAAATCATGAAACATAATGACAACATTTTCTTTTTAGAGGAGGAAAACCTTTCAGATTGAGACACATTTGATTTAAAACAAAAATGAAAACAATTGCTGGAGATGTTCCTGCAAACGGGAATGGCAGAGGAAAACAATGAAAGAAAGACTGGAGTTTTGGATTTCCCTGCGGCAAACTTTCCAGGAATGGCCCACTTCGCTTGCTCTCACAGCCATGGATTTTGGTGAAGAGTTTGCTTCTCAGCTGGACTTCTTGGTTTGAATCCAGTTCAGTTACATCATAGGAAACCAAGTAGTTTTCTCCAGTGAGGAATGATGGATTTTGACCACGTTGTGAGGAACATTTTAGAGTATAGCAACCTCACTAGAGAGCTTGGGGGAGGGGCAAGCTCTCCAGCCAGCCAACTTTTTTTTTATTGATTATGCCATTACATTTGTTCTATTCCCCCCTTCATTCCCCTCCACCCTGCACACCCCTCCCCCACCATTCCCTCCTTTAGTATATGACCACGTGTCTCAAGTTCTTTAGATTCTATATTTCCCCTACTATTCTTGCCCTCCCCCTATGTATTTTCTATCTACTGTCTATGCTACTTATTTTCTGTACCTTCTCCTCCCTTCTCCTTTTCCCACTCCCCTGTTGCTAACCCTCCACGTGATCTTCATTTCTATGGTTCACTCCTGATCTAGCTGTCCTCTTAATTTGCTTTTGTTTTAGGTGTGGTTGTTAATACCTGTGAGTTTGCTGTCCTTTCACTGTTCATCTTTTTTTATCTTCTTTTTCTTAGGTAAGTCCCTTTAACATTTCATATAATAA